AGTGCAAAAATCAGAAAGAGAATATATTTTCTGGATCAAACAAGACCTTGCTGCATCAAACACCGAACTAGCAATGAGAGTGCAGGAGAGAGATGAGGCATTGACGGCTGAGCGTCATTCACATTCACTAGTGCAAAAAAAAGACTTTTTATGTCGGTTAAAATGAGTTTTTTACGTCGGTTAAAGAGGCGACATAGAAAGTATGACTTTTTATGTCGGTTGTAATGAACCGACATAGAAAGTAATGGACTTCTTACGAAAATTGTTACTCGTAGAATTCGAACCCAGTGCATTAGAGTCTAGAATTAGACCAACCACTACACTAATACGATTGATTTTTATTTATTTATTCATATTATATTTTTATTATACTTTATAATATATTATTTTATTATCTCGTTAAGAGATTTGTGTCTAACAAGATTCGAACCCAAGTACCTTAGAGTTGGAGATTGATACTCCAACCACTAAACTACTACGAATTTCGATACATAACTTACAAATAAATTATATTTATATACAAAATATATAAATACAAATATATTTATATATTTTGATATATAAATATTTATATACTTATATATTTAATTTTTTTTATTTAATATACACTTTCTATGTCGGTTAAATTTCAACCGACATAAAAAGTACTTTCTATGTCGGTTGAAATTTAACCGACATAGAAAGTGAACTTTCTATGTCGGGTAAATTATAACCGACATAGAAAGTTCACTTTCTATGTCGGGTAAATTTTAACCGACATAGAAAGTGACCTTTCCACTTACTATGTCGGTTAAAATTTACCCGACATAGAAAGTTTATGATTTAATTACAAAATTGCCACCGCACTACATACTATGACGGGTGGACTACGACCGTGATAAAAACTCGTCATAGAATGCTATTTTTCCACTAGTGATTGGAAACATCTTCATGAGGAAGAAAAAAAAGATAAGAAAGAAGCACTGAGGAAGTGGCGAGATGCGCAAATCCAGATCAATCTCTTGGAGCAAAAAATGAGGGAGATGGTCATGACATGCGAAGATAGGGTGAACAAGGAACATTGGGAAGCAATGGAGATGGAAGAGAGACACCAGATAGTGATAGCGCAAATGAAGAATCTCATCGCAGAGCAGGAAGATATGGTGCAACATTAGAAAAAAAATTTCTCGCAACTCGTTGCCCTGGCCAATGGGGCAATCCATGGCATTCCCTAGATGCTGTGCGATGCCAAATCTGTAACGTTGGTCTTTAACCAACCAAAGGAGATCAACAACTTTATTAATCATTGCAATGAGTTGGTAGGAAGGATGAAGGACTTGATTGTTAGTGCTAGGGATTGTTGACTGTATTCCTGAGATGAATGTATTGAACCTTGTTTCTTTAAAGGATGAGCAAGCGTTTTGGAGGATATGATTTGGTTTCTATGATCCCATGTTAATTTCCATCATTAATGCCAATGCATTCATGTGAGTTTATGGCTTCTAACCATTTTTTGCCATCTTTATCTTTCTTATTGCATTTATTCTCTCATCTAATTTATGTTAATAAAATAAATCTAGGAAAAATATAACTGGGCATACAAATAATGGCTAAGCCATCGCGACATCCCTATAGAACCTAGGCCAATCAGAGAAGGATGGAAGAGTGGGAGATTGCACAAGAGGCAACGAAGGCCAACATTAATCAACTGAAAGACCAGATGGGCCAGATCCTTGAAGCACTGAAGGCCTTTAAGAGCACATATGAAACTCTTCACCCCCTCCCCCGGTTTCTTCCTCGTCCAATCAATGGCGCAGTCCGGTAATGCCTAAGCTCAACATTTCCCCAAATATGGTCTGCCTCCTGGCTATACTCCACCCATTAAGGAATACTAGGACGAAGGCACTACCATGCTTGCTAGGGCCTTCGCGAATGTGGTCGGACCATTGACGAATGCACAAGAACCTCTTCAGATCTCTATTCAGGCAGATGAGTCTGCCATCTATGTGCCTCTGATCCACACTATAGGGGTGTCGCTGCCGTTAAAAGAGGTGGTCGGAGCGACCTGATGATTTTGTTTCAACTCGCGTTCTTTAAAGTGATGCTACAACGCCTTTAGGTTGTCCGATAACTGGACTGGACCTAAAGACGAGGTTTTCGAAAAGGGTTATGGAGTCGCCACCAATGTTTTATCCAAAAACATTGGAAAAGGAAGAAAAAGAAGGCGTTGGTTAAGAAAAACCAACTTTGGTCATTATAACCAGAGTTGGGTAAGGGAGTTAGTTACATGTAGGGAAGGTATTAACTTCCCTACGACACTCCTTTCAGGTTCCCTATGATGGACCGCTTATTTTATAAATAAAGAACTCTAAAAGTACGCTTTTACCCTTATTTATTCATTTGCGGAATTTAAAGTGTTGACTACATGACCCTAACAGCTAATGCACAAATAGATGTAATAAGAAAGCAATAAAAGAAGATAGAAAGTGTATGAACCTTCAAAGCAAACTTTGTATTAATATTCTTGCTAAAGAAAGGTGCTTTTTGGCAACTTCCACGCTCTACAGTGTTGATCGCTCTTTCTGGCAACACTACGGGACGCTTACTAAGAATACTAAGAAACTTTGGAAATGCTTCGGAGGGATCCTAGGAGAAGAATTTGACAGAAGTCTAGAAGGGAAAGTTGTTATGTGCTGTGAAAAGGATGAGGTCGCCCCCCCTTTTATAGAAATTTGCGCCTGTTAGGTCGGGACCGCCGTCTCGTCAAACAGGATGGCGGTCTCGCCCTCGGCAAATGGCGAGAAGGCCGTCTCGCCAAACGAGACGGCGGTCTCACCATTGGCAAGTGGCGAGACGACGGTCTCGGCCCTTTAGGTGAAATTTCTTATTTTTCCCGTACAAAAAACCTTCCTATTCTAAAATGGGGACTATTGATCTATCTTAGGAACCTTTTAGGCTTTGCCCATCTTTGAACGAAAGTCTTATGCTCTTTATTTTGAGGCTGTGCAGGATTTGGGGTCTACAAGGGGAAATATATGGAACATCTCATGTCGGGTCTGAAGTAACCATACCACTGAAAGCTTTGCACATGATGGTTGGGGAGGGACTACAATGAAGCCTTCGTACCAAGCTGTCGTACCTGGGGTAACCGCTCAGGTCATCGAGGCTAGGGACAAATTTGACATATTGGAAGAAAGGTTGAGGGCCATTGAAGGAGGCGTGAGCTTTGATTTTGGTGATGCCGCTGGGTCTTGTGCTTGACATCATGGTGCCACCAAAATTCAAAGTGCCAACTTTTGAAAAGTACCGAGGGAATACCTGTCCTAAGAACCATTTAACTATGTACTACAGAAAAATGGCAGTGATAAGATGCTCATCCAATTTTTTCAGGATAGCTTAGCCAAAATGGCTCTTAATTGGTACATTCACCTCAAGCCTACCCATATTCACTGTTGGAAGGATATGGTAAACGCATTTTTAAAGCAATACCAGTACAACTTTGACATGGCGCTCGATAAGTTGCAACTGCAAAGCATGGTAAAATGCGAGAAAGAAACCCTGAAGGAATATGCCTAGAGATGGAGAGAGGTGGAAACACAGGTGGAGCCCCCACTGATAAAGAAATGGTGGCCATGTTCATTGCACGCTTCAATCCTTGTTTTATGAGCACATGATAGGAAATACCTCGTCGAATTTTGTAGACATCGTCATAATTAGGGAAAGGGTTGAGATTGACCTTAGAAATGGGAGAATCATACACACCTCACCCACGACTTTAACTACAAAGAAGACTCGGTATAATGTGGGGAAGAAAAAGGAAGGTGAGACACATGTAACATCTTCCACACCTGCTTGGGTCAGGCGAGCCCCTATTCACTACGGGCAGGATTACCAACAACCTGCATCCCAGTTCCCCCTATCGCTATCGTCATGCCTGTTATCACCCATAATCTCACTAACAAGCTTCGCATCAGGTACAAACTACCCAGGGTCCGTCCTCCCAAACCCAGCCTACAAGGGATAACTTGAATCTCCAAAATGGGTCGGGCCAAAACTTGACTTTGAAAAGGGGCTCCGGTCAGGAGAAGAACTTTGTGCATTTCACCCCCATTCCAGTCACTTATATAGAGTTGTAGCCCAATCTCCTACGCAACTTTGGTTGTTGTATGCCCTTTAAAGCCTGTGCAACCCCCGTTCCTGCCAAACTACGGTGTCAATGCACGATGTGATTACCATGGCGGAGTTGTTAGACATTCCACTGAGAGATGCCTCAGCCTTAAGCATAAGGTACAAGCGTTGATCAATTGCGGGTGGTTGAGCTTCTAGGAGGACAAGCCCAATATTGAGAATAATCCACTGCCAGGAGATGGAGGTGCTTCCGCCAATGTCATGGGGCATGTCGATGAAGACTCGTTCGTGAAAGAGGCAAATAAGATTAAGACCCTAAGGGTTTCATCTTTGAGAAGCTATAGGAGTGGAAGATGTTGCAACGCAGGTATGTTAGAGGAGAGATGTGCAACCTTCATCCAGGGGCACAAGATTCTATAGAGCATTGCTCAGAGGCTGAGGAAATACTGCAATGTTTGATAGACACACATAAAATCTAGATCAGTGGTATGCAGAAAGAGGGGAATGTGTTCATGCAAACAAACAGGGAGCAAAAATTAACAGTGACAAAACCGTTAGTGATTCATTTCACTAAACCTTCACTTCCATCTATGCCTTAGGTAAGGCAACCCATCGTAATTCAAACACCCTCTCCTTTCCTATACGAGAATGAAAAGGTAGTCCCTTGGAGGTATGGTTTAAACGTGCTAAAAAGGGGGAGAATGGATGATACCCTTTACGTCGATGCATCGGGTGTTGATAATATCTTTGGAATAAGGGGGTGACGAGGAGTGATCATTTTTTTGCACCCCCTAATTTAGGAAAGGAGAGAAACCATGAGGGAAGGGCCCAAGGTGAAAAGGTAGTGGCTAAGAAGGAAAAAGAGTTCCTGAAAGAAAAGGCTACACAAGAAGATGCAGCCAGAAGGAGAAGATGTCGGGAAGAGACAAGAAGTTTCAGATGAAGAAGCTTGCGAGTTCCTCAAGTTTATCCAACAGAGCAAATACAAGGTGGTTGATTAGTTGAATCAAATGCTGGCCAAAATCTTTCTATTGGAGCTATTGATGCATTCAACCACCCATAGGAAGTTGTTAATGAAGGTATTGAGTGATGCTCATGTGGAGTAGGAGATATTGTTAGATAAGTTCGAGGGAATTGTTAGTAACATCACCGCCAATAATTACCTCAATTTTATTGAGGAGGAAGTCTTGACGAAGGGAAAAGGCCACAAGAAGGCTCTACATGTCTCCATCAAGTTCCTAGATCACATCATAACACGAGTACTCATCAATAATGACTCATCTCTGAATGTCATGCCAAAAGCGACACTGGGTAAGCTGCCATGTGAGGGGATTCACATGAAATTGAGTGTTATGGTGGTAAAAGCATTTGATGGAAGTAAGAGGGAAGTGATGGGGGAGATGAAACTACCTATTCAAGTTGGTCCATGCACTTTCTAGGTCACCTTCCAAGCAATGGACATCCTGCCCGCATATAGTTGTTTACTGGGACGACCATGGGTCCACATAGTTGGGGTTGTGCCCTCCACATTGCACCAGAAGTTGAAGTTTGTAGTGGGAGACAAGTTGATAATAGTCTCTAGGGAGGAAGATTTATTGGTGAGTGGGCCATCATCCACCTGATATATCGAGGCAATAGAGGAGGCATTAGAGACATCTTTCCAGTCCTTAGAAATTGTAGTCAATGCTTACATGGAACCATTGCGGGCCAAACCTCATTTGTCATGTGTATATCTGATGATGGCTACAATCTTGTTAAAGGACGAATTCAAGTGTGTAGATGGGCTCAAGAAGAATAATCAGGGTTTGTCGTCCCTTTTGGAGATTCCAGAGAAGAAGGACATGTATGGTCTAGGGTATAAGCTTACCAAGGAGGATATAAAGAGGGTGATGGAATAAAGGAAGGAGAGGAATCTAGCCCGCTTGGAGGGGTGTGAGCCGAGAGTTCGAAGGATTTCCATCTGTGATATTAAGCACAACTTCCACAGCGCTGGGTGGGTGAATATCGAACAAGTGGCAACCATCGGAGAGGGGGTTAGCGATGAAATCCAGAACTTTGTATGCTCATATCCCTTGAGTGTAAAACTCGACAATTGGATGATTGTTGAATTATCCATGGTGTTCAATACTGATAAAATGTAATCTTTTGTTTCAAACCCGTTAGCTCTGCCCAAGGCTTTAAGACTTATTGTTTTTGTGTGTATGGGCATAATTTAAACTTTTAGTGTCAACAATAACAAACACATTTCATTTCTAAAACTGTGTCTCCACTATTGTTTTTTCACTGCTAATTTTGAATAATCAAATCTGACAGCAAATCTTGTGAAAATAACGGTGTCGATACCTGTGTCCCAACTTTTTTATTCCTACTGGTAATATGGAAGAAAATCTTGAAGAAAATAGGAAACGCCTCAAGAAATTGAGACTGGTAGAACAAGAATCTAAGGAGATAAAACCACATCAAGAGGACATAGATACAGTTAACTTGGGCAGTGAAGGGAAGAGGAAAGAAGTAAGGATTGACACTAATATCGAGATTGAAATGCGCAAAAGGCTTATTATATTGCTGAAAGAATTCAAGGATTTGTATGCTTGGTCTTACCAAGATATGCCTAGACTAGATCCTAGTATAGTGCAGCACAAACTACCATTGAAGCTCGAATGTTCGTTGGTCAAACAAAAGTTGAGAAGAATGAAGCCCAAGATGTCCTTGAAAATAAAAAAAGAAGTAATGAAATAATTTGAAGCTGGATTCTTGGTCGTAGCAAAGTACAAAATGGGTTACAAATGTTGTTCCACTGCTAAAGAAGGATGGGAAAGTCCAAATGTGCATCGATTATCGAGATCTTAATCGAGCTAGCCCCAAAGATAATTTCCTGTTGCTCCATATTGACACTTTGGTTGATAATACTGCACAATTCTCACTTTTCTTGTTTATGGATGGGTTCTCAGGTTATAATCAAATCGCTATGGCCCCCGACGACATGGAGAAAACCACTTTTATCACTTCATGGGGCACATTTTGCTACAAGGTGATGTCATTTAGGCTAAAAAATGTTGGTGTGACTTACCAAAGAGCAATGGTGACGTTATTCCACGATATGATGCACAAAGAGATTGAAGTTTATGTGGACGACATGATTGCTATGTCTAGATCCAAAGACAAACATATCATCAACCTAAGGAAGTTGTTTGAAAGATTGAGAAAATTTAAGCTCAGACTAAACCCGACAAAATGCACCTTTGGCGTAAGATTAGGAAAGTTGTTAGGGTTTATTGTCAATGAAAAGGGGATAAAGGTAGACCCTGACAAAGTATGACCGATTTTGGAAATGTAAGTCCCATGCACAGAAATTGAAGTTCGAGGTTTCTTGGGTAGATTAAACTACATTGCTAGATTTATCTTCCAATTAACCGCAACGTGCGAGCCAATATTCAAATTGTTATGCAAAAAGCCAACCGGTCTAGTGGAATATGATTGTCAAGAGGCATTCAATAAAATTAAACAATACTTGCAGGAGCCTCCAGTACTTCGTCCACCAGTGCCAAGGAGACCGTTCATCCTATATTTGACAGTGCTAGAGGAATCAATCGGTTGCATCCTTGGGAAACAAGGAGGAAGGAGCATACCATCTACTACCTAAGCAAGAAATTCACTAGTTGCGAACAAAGATATTCTTTCTTGGAGCGAACCTATTGTGCACTAACGTGGGTTGCTCATCAAATGAGACAGTGTATGCTTTGCCATACTACCTGGCTGATATCCAAAATGGATCCAAGCAAGTATATCTTTGAGAAGCCAGTTCTCATAGGCAGAATAGCCCGATGATAGATGCTATTTTCAGAATATGACATCGTATACGCAAAAGGCTGTCAAAGGAAGTGCTATAGCTGAGTATTTGGCTCATCAACCTCATGAAGACTACCAACGTATGACCCCTAGATTCCCGATGAGGACATCTTAACCCTTTTGATGAAAGTAGGGATGTACGTGATGGAGCCAAGTGGAAACTTTTTTTCGACAGGGCTTCTAGTGCATTAGGGCACAGGGTTGGTGCAATGCTCGTATCTCGAGTGTTAGATATTATTTAGATATAGTTTAATTTTGTTAAGATATTGTTAGATATTGTTAACCACAATATCAAACAATATCTTCTGTTTATTCTGTTTATTTTCGGTTACTCTTTTAGTTGTACCTCTCTATTATAAATAGATTACCATATGTGTGATTTATACACAAGGGAGATTAATTTCAAACCCTATTTCCTCTATATTCAACATGGTATCTAGAGCTTAAGGTTATCTTGAATTTTTTTTTTGCCTTTTGTCCACTGCTGGAGCTGCCCCACCGCTGCTGGTAAACTGATCCTCCACATTAGAAAAAAAATATCTTTGTTACTGAATTTTATTTGGTAGTGTGAAAGTACATGTCTAAGAAAGTTCTGGCAATGAAAGACTTGGTATTTAAGTGTGTCCTTTAGTGACCCACCTCTCTTTCCTGGGAACTTACCTGGTGTACTGGTTCACGTTGCTGTCACCGCTGCTGCTGGAGCAATCACCGAATCTGCCACTACCGGAGAATTCACCGTAGTTTCATTTTTTGACCGGTGACATATGATTTTGCTTGTCTCGGTCAGGTGACCACCATGCCGTTGAGATCACCACTATCGGAGTTGGTCGTCCCGTTGTCTCCTGCGCCATTTAGTCTTGGCGAACTTTGTTAGAATCGCGCAGCGGAATGTTCGCGTGGTCGGACAAAAACCAAGAGGGGGGGGGGGTGAATTGGTTTCTTAATAAAAATTAGGTTTTCAAAATTTTCCCCAAATTTTACCGATTAAAAACTGCGTAAATGTAAATAGAGAAGAGTAGAGAAGATTACACAGTAGGTTTATACTGGTTCAGATCAAAAGACCCTACGTCCAGTTGCTAATCACTCAAAAGAGGATTAACGCTGTCACTAAGAACAAATTGTTACAAACAGATTACAAATGAACAGATAAAGATCAGAAAACACCTCTCTTGAAATCCACAAGAGATGAAGAACAGCCTTCCCTAGAGACGGCACAACACACAATCCACTAAGAACTCCACTTAGTGATTCTTATCGCTTCTAGCCTCACACCAGGTTCCAAAAGCCCCCTTTCCTTGCAACAAACAGTTCTCCGGCACTCACGAGCACTTAACTTTTGTATGGAAAGAGTTGTTCATATTTTCCGAGTGCCAAAGCGAGTTTAAGTAGGGAAATTAGGGTTTAGGAATTGGGGATTTCGAAACTAGGGTTCTTGGTAATTGGGTTTTCGAAAATAGGGTTAATTTGAAATTTAAAATGAAAAACAGATCGAAATAATCGATTATTTGGAGTGATAATCGATTAAAACAGAGCCAAATACGTCGAACCCAAACCTCTCTGGAATAATCGATTATTTGGTGAAATAATCGATTAATTGTACTGAACGAGTACAAAACAATCGATTATTTTGTCTGTTTTAATCGATTAAAACGAGTGAGTTTGTATAGAAAGTGTTTTCTCATCTGTTTTAATCGATTATTTACCTATATAATCGATTAAAGCCGAGCCTAAATGATAAATTTGAGCTTTTTGAAGCTTCTAAGTTACGAGACTATGTACCGGCTATCTTAGACTCTAAAAATACGAGACTCAATCTTAAATAAAACGAGTTATTACAATACAATTATCACCAATCTTCAATCTTCAATATTCTAAGTCTTTAGTTCTTGGATCATCATCAAAATCCATTCTTCATATTCATCAAGTGCAACATCAAGTCCTTGAATTGTCAACAATCTCCCCCTTTTTGATGATGATCAAAATTTTCTTTTAAAGCCCTTTGTAATAACCTCGTTTTATCCGTCATACTAACAAACACATTAAACATACCGAGATAAAATTTAAAATTGAATCATAGGCTTTAAATTTTTCTCCCCCTATTTTGATTATAATCAAAAAGAACTCTGCAACATCAATCATAAGAGCTCCCCCTCAAAATATGCATAAGTTAGAGAAAGCTCCCCCTCAATCATAGCATGAAAGAAACATCAAATTTTATTTCACAATCATTCAACCATTACAACATCAAGACAATAACAAAAGAAAATACATTGATTCTCTCTATATCGGACAGTTTTAATCGATTATTTCTAGCAAATAATCGATTGTCGAAGCATTTAATCGATTATTTCACGAAATAATCGATTATTCCGGAGGAGAATACCCTGTTTTGGACGTTTTGAGAAAAAATAATCGATTATTACTTCCGATAATCGATTATTCCGGAGGCTATATCAAGTTTTTAAGGTTTTTACACATTATAACCTATGAATATCCTACAACACGAATTTTAACATAACAATCATCCAAAAACGAGTCAAATTAAGCGGAATTTAAGCTATTTCTAATATCCCTAAGTCTCTTCTAAGATCATAGAATCTATCCTTTGGTAGAGGCTTAGTAAATATATCTGCTAATTGACGTTTAGTGTCTACATACTCTATCTTACAGTTTCCTTTGCTTGATATTATCTCTTAAAAAGTGATGTCTAATCTCAATATGTTTAGTCCTAGAGTGCATTACTTGGATTCTTAGTTAGATTGATTGCACTCGTATTATCACACATTAAGGGTATGTCATTTAAATATATACTATAATCCTCTAACTGTTGTTTCATCCACGGAATTTGAGTACAACAACTACCTGTTCGCAATATATTCGACTTCGAGTGGTAGATAAAGCTACACATGCTTGTTTCTTAGAATGCCATGATATTAAGGATGAACCTAACAAATGACATGTCCCACTAGTGCTTTTCCTATCAATTTTACATCCACCATAATCAGCATCAGAATATCCTAATAAACTAATACAAGCATCGAGACGGATACCACAAGCCAAACCCAGTAGTTCCTTTTAAGTATTTTAAAATATGTTTTACTGCAATTAGGTGAGATTCTTTAGGACAAGCACTGAAATCTAGCACACACACGGACATAATGCATAATATCGGGTCTACTAGCGAGTTAAGTATAATAGTGATCCTATCATACCTCTATACATAGTTTGATTAACTTCCAAACCTGATTCATCCTTGTCTAGATAGCATGAAGTTCCCATGGGTGTGTTCATA